GGAAGGGAAGGGAAGGGAAGGAAAAGGAAAAGGAAAAGGAAAAGGAAAAGGAAAAGGAAAAGGAAAAGGAAAAGGAAAAGGAAATCAAACATGGCATGGAAAAGGTTTTCCCTCCTTTCTCAGAATGCCAGTACGAAGAGTCACGCATGAAGCTGACCAGGAGGAGACCAGACAAAAAAAGCATTTCTTCACCCAGCACATTGTTAACCTATGCAGTTCATAAGCACAAGACATGGTGATGGCTACTTACTCGGATGGGAGAATGGATAAATTCACATAGGACAGGTCTAACAGGGACTATTAGTTTTGAAGTTTCAGTCTTACCTTCAGACTGGAAACAGCATGCTTCTGTTTACCAGTTGGCAGGATATGTGTCCATCTGCTGCTTCTGAGCATCACAGAGGCGCCTGATTGGCCACTGTGTGAAACAAAATGTTGGACTAAGACGTGCCTTGGTCTGATCCAGTGAGACTATTTTTATTGCCTTATGTTCTAAAATGAGAACACTTCTTGTCAGCCTCCACTGACTAGAATGTAATCAGCCTTGAGGAGCAAAGTTTAAACAAGTTCATCTGAATCCATCCAGTCTCAGCACTTTCAATAGCAAACCACAGCCATCAGCTTGGATAGGGATACTTCTGGTTGGAAGGATAATGTAGCGCTCACCCAACGCACAATATAAATATTCCAGTTTGACACACACCCGAATACAGTGACTGAAGAGTGTGATACCCTCTCCTCAATCTTGAATCTTGTTCATAGTGAAAAGAAGCTAGAAAAGACTCATTTTGTTTTCAACTCCCAACTATCCTAGTTAAGCCCCTGTTATACACTTCAGGTGGAATCTCCTTCACAGTCCAAAAGTGTAAATTTATTCAAATAGTTTTTATTTATAAAGAGGAATATTGGTAAATTATATTAATTTTCCTTGGTTGACAGCCTCAGTCTAAAGACAATACACAGTTTTATATGCATAACAACTCTGGATGGCCTTAATTATGGTTGCTATTGCTCGTGAGCTTCTAGGATTGTGTCCAATATTCAACTGACAAAATTAATGAGACTGCACAACCTCTGGCCTAGTTGTACATGAAAAAAAATAGTTAAGGTTTTAACATCCTTTTGAATGTAGCAGAAATAACGTCTCAATAGATCAGAGTGTGGCAGACTTCAGGGAATTGGACTTTATTTAACTTGGAGCCATTTGCAACTTTGTGGAGTGGATGCTTATTATGAAAAAATAATTATGTAGTGCTCCCTTTTCCAATGACATCAAGCAACCACTGCTATGTAGTATCCCAACATTTAAGACACACTGGAGTCCATATTGCCAGGGGAAATATTGTTCATAGTAACAGAACCCAACAGAATTCCTTCATCTCATCACCGTGGCTTTCTGGCAGGGAGACAAGCAGCAGAAACGCAAGGACTGATGCAAACAATTTGCTCATTAAGCAATGGCAGTCTCAATGTAAAGTTCATAATTATTTTATACAAACTAAGGAAGTTAACAAAAAGTCGAATTCCTTACCTTAAGGCATTTCCTATAAAAGAGGGGAAATAGGTTCCTCAATAGGTCTCTGTTGTTGAAAGGGCAAATTAGCTGCAAGAACGGGATGGGGGGGTGGAATTAATTTTTTTTTTCTTTTCAGTTTACTTTTTCAATCATTGGGAAAACACAGGGGCATTTTAATATCGTATTGCTTTTGGAAGCCATTCAGTTATTAGGTCTTGGTGGGTGGGTGAGTCTATGTAGTATAAATTGTAGCAAAAGAGTTCCTCTTCAATTTTCCTAGCAATTATATTTTTTGAGGTAAAATTAGAGATCTCTTATAGATGGCATTTCAGGGAAGAACCACTTAATGTATATTTTCATGATTGTAATACTAAATACTGAACAAAATTGCTGCTGGAGGGGTGGTAGGTACTTTAGAACAGCAACCAGGAACTCCTGGGACCACAGCTTGTTTTTCTACTCCTTATGCTGTCAGGGCAGCTGGCCAAGGCAGACAATTCAGTCAGAGGAGAAAGAACATTCAATTTGCCTCGAATCATCTGTCTTCAAATTTCAGAAGATATGGGATTACTAGTCCAGGGCCACTAGCAAACATAAGGAAGCTGAGTTGTGCTGATTGCTTCAGACATTCAGTTCGCACATGTGTGCCCCAGATAACTGGTCTCCAATGTTCAGCCGCTTGTTGATGTTTCAGTGGTGCTTGTCCAAAGGCTTGTGGGATTTTTTTGTGATAAAAAAGAGCATCAGGATCCCCAGCTAAGACTTAATGTGCATGATACTTTATAGAGTAACATAAGAAAAATATTATGGCTCCTGTTCTGAACACTTCACATTCTAAGTATTAAGAAAATTTAAAACCAGATCCACTCCACCATCAGCAGTGCTTTGTCTTGGCCAGGCCAGATTGGACTCTTTCACATTTTGGCTCCGAAGATATTGTCTGCTGTGCTGTAATGCAATATAAAGTATTAAGTTGCAGTCTTATGCATGTTTAGGTTGATATAATAAGTGGACTGATTTCTGAAAATACACTTATAGAATGGCATGGTTAGTGGCCAAAAGACGTCATGAAATTATTTGGATTAA